CCACTAAATATAATTTATGTTATTTCTCCATCTTCTTAAGTAGAATGAATGATAGATTCAAAAATCAACCCAACTTCAGAAATTAATTACTTGGAAAAAGTTTATTATCATTATTATTATTTGAAAAAACAAAGGAGAATGTTGAAATTTTAGAATTGAAAGACATCACTACTACAGAATTTTATAAGTCTGCCAGAAGCTTAGAGAAGACCCAGGTGCTCTAGTAGGCCCAACACCATGAGGACAGCATGGAGGAGCAAAAGGGGGCCCAGTACCTCTATCGCTTGCATAAGAATGGTGAGACAGAACACTCATATAAATCAGCCAAAGGAGATATTTTTATTCACAGATACGCAGGAAGAATAAACAGGAGCCTAGAATCCTTGATGAACCGACTTCCCAAGGATCAGGAAACTGTCCAGGGCAGATGCAGTCTCATCTTTGCTTGCCCCATGTGTCACACCTGAGGAAACTCAAAAGCACTTTGCCCTGAGTTTGTACACCCTGGGCACCAAATTGCTGAGGTCAGTCACTGGGAAACATCTCATTCTAGGAGGGAGGAGGACATAGCCTAGATTGTACTCAACACTTTCTCTTTATCTCAAGATGCCCTATTCTGGTTACTAGGATGCCCCATCTAGAACTAGAATGGGATGAAAAGAAAGTCTCTGTTAAGTTGAAGGGGAAAGAGCTAGGGCAGCCAAGGTCATTTGGGGACTTGTCCACCTGCAACTAGCCTTCCCAGTTCAATCCCTCCTTTATTTTGAATATTGCTTATAAGGGATAAGGACACTATATAGTTTCTCTTTATGGTTTATTATATTACCCTTAAAATCTTCTTTATATACTTCCTCCCTTTGTGTTTCTTCCTTTCTTCTTCTCTCTGAAATCATATAGAATGAAATCGTCCTGATTTGCAGTTTAGCATATTGAAGAAACTACTGTAGTTATTGGGTTTTCCTCGTTTTGTTTTTAGGTGTATGCATTTGTTTGTTTGTTTTTTCTGAGATAGGCAGCCTAAGTTCATTCAACCATTCCTCTATTGCAGAGGTTTTCACTGTGTGGTCAGTGCACTGGTGATGGTCTGTGACTATTTCATATCCTCTACACGTTATGTGTTATAGGTCTACAAGAAGATAGGGAACTTGCACCAGACTGTAAATCAACATACCACTTACTTCATTGAAAATGTTTTGGTACAAAAAACAAAAATAAAGTTAGCTGAATTAAACTGTGTTTACTGATATAGTTGCTTTATGTTGTGGCACAAGATTTTATCATATTTTAGATCAGTAATAAGCAATTGAACCAGCTAGTCTGATAGCAAGTGATAAGAATTTGACATGATTTCTTGACTGGTTCTAATTATTTTTCCTTAGACCAGCCTCTGAAGTACAACCAACTATTCCAGAGAGTTTGCTAAAAATATATTGAAAAATATTACATCCTAGTATCTGGAGACCATCTTAGTTTTGTATTGAGTTTTTAATCAAGTACAGCACTTTGTGAGACTTATACACTTGTTTCCATTCAGATTCTTCTTGATACTTAATGATCCATCGTTCAAAAATTACAACCCGTAGCCATTCTGTCCAATTTCGTGTCATTTTCAAATATGGACTGTGTAGCTACTGGTATGTTAAAAAAAAAAAAAAAAAAAGTCACTTAGACAAGCACCTTTTAAAAAAATTTTTCCTGAGTCCATAGTTCAGCTGGTCAGTTATGGTGACAGTAACTCATTCACTTCTGACAATCTTCCTGGGGCCTGATCAAGCATCTGGCATCACTGGTTATTGGCAGGGGGCTGATCAGTCTAGCATGGCCTCAGCTAAAGTGACTCAGCTATCCTCTACAGCATTTGTATCCTTCAGTAGGCTAGCTTGAGCTTGGTCTCATGGCCATGACATGATTCCAAGAGAGACAAGAAGCACACAAGACCTTTGTAAGGATCAGTCCCACCACTGGCCTAGAGTAAAGGAGAAAAGTGGTGGAAAATGGATCTGGAGGAGAACAAAGTTAAAACCTTCACAATGCCAATATGTTCTTCCAAATTATTTATTAAAAATTTGAACATGGTATTGACAAATAGTTTTCACAGAAGACCTCAGTAGACCTTGTTACAAATGCATTGGTCAACAGTTTTGTAATATGTTATCTAACCACGTATGACTCTATCAATAGGTGCTTTTATCTAACCTATATTTTTCCATTCAAAAGAGTTCAGTGAAAAGTTTTCTAAAACTTGATGCTGTAATTAAGAAATTACTTATCATTTTCTGAACATAAATGATCATCACTTCATTATTTATAATAGCAAACTATTAGAAATACTGCAGGAATGAATATGTTTTTATGGTAATCCATATAATGAATTAGTTCATATAGCTTCTAATTTTCAAATAAAATGAAATGGGAAAATGCTCATAATTTAATTTAATCACAGAGTGGTGAGACACATAGTGAGACACAACATCAATGAAATGCAGGTTTCATATTTTATATTTAATATATAAATATTTTGAAATTTCAGAAATAAATATACTAAAAATACTAATACTTATTTTCTTTGGATGGAAAGATAATAGTGCTTTTATTTTCATATTAAATATTTATGTATTTTCCAAATTTTCTACAGTGGACATAAAAAGCATCATTATCCAAAAAAGATAAACATTTAAAGTTTTTTTTATATTTTATGATTTTCTGGGGAATTAAAATCAAGCTTATACTTTTCTTTATTTTGAAAATTGTGCAATTTGTTTATTGCCATTTAATATTCCCTGAGATGTTATAATAATCAGAGGAAGATTGGGATACTTGCCATTAGCATAGTAACTGGACTTTAATAACCATTTCATGAATATTTTTATGTTGAAATTTTTTTCTGCAGCTATACTCTATATATGTCCTCTTTTTCTGTTGGATACCAAGAAGAAACAGGATTTTATGACTATTTTATGGAGCAATGCATAGTATCTATGTCAGAAGAAATAAAAAGGATAAGTTCTATATCACAGGATAGGAAAGCGAGGGAAAAATATATCTCAAACATTGATTCCTCTTCTGTTACATCATTATGAAACTAAGGAAGCTATCCCATAGCTACATCTATGTTAGCACTGATCATTTGTTTATAGCCTTTAAACTCTTGCCAGCAGTAAAAATCATGTTATGAGGTGATATTTAAGCTACCTGTAATGCTTAAATGAATAGTTCACGTGCTAGAATGTCTCTAACAACACAGTGGGTAGGCTTTTCCTGCAAGGGATCTAGAATACGAATGTGAGTAAATCATCTACCAGACACCATGGCCACCAGAAGCATTGTGATATAATAATAGAGATGACCACAGAGTCTCTGATTCTTGTCTCACTGAGAAGTGGAGTCTCTGTTCCTTCTCTTGATCTGAGTGGACTGTGTTACTTCTTGACCAATAGTATATGACAGAAGTGACATTATGCTAGTTTCCTAGTCCAAGCATTAAGATACTGGCAACTAATACCTCTGATCTCCTGGAACACTCACTCTTGGAAGCCAACTGCCAGGCTGTGAGAAACCCAAGCCCCATGGAGAGTTCATGCATATGTATTCCAGTTGACAGCCTTAGCTATGCTCCCAGCCAACCACAAGCATCCACTGCATCCACGTGAGTGAGTCCTTTCAGCCTTGTCATGTCTCTAGATGATTCTAGCTTCAGATACTATCTGACTCCAATTACGTTAAAGATCTCAAGCCAGATGCATCCAGCTGAACTCAGTCAACCCACAGAACCATAAGACATAATAATAAATTGTTGCTTTAATCTACTAAATTTGGGGATGGAGTGCTCAATTAAAAAAAAAAACTGGAACATTAACCATTGTTAGCTGGTACGGTTGCATTTGAAACTAATTACAGGAAATAGATGATGACAGAAGATCTCTGTAGATCTATCTTTTAAACTGGAATAGAGCAATAGTGAGGAGAGCTTACTATATATTACGCCTTTCAAAATCATATCAGACATAATGATTCAAAGAAACCAAGAAGAAATAAAAAGAAAACTAAAGATAACACTTAGCACTTCATGTTTGGAGTTGATGAGATGCCATCATGAGTATGGCACTTTACTGTTTACAAGAACCCTCAGGAATATGAATTATTGTTATACTCATTCTTTCTTCCCCCTCCCTTCCTTTCCATATCTCTCCCTTCCTCCCTCCCTTCCCCCCATTCATTCTTTTCTCTCCCTCCAATTTCCAAGTTGTTTTCACTGTGCTCCACTCTACTTCACCTCCACAAGATCTCCTCATGCTATTCATGGTATACAAAAGGATGCTGCTCCAGCAGGTGTCCCTGCGATGTCAGGGGAGCGATCTCTGAGGTGAGAGGGTAACTCCTGCAGGATTTCATCCTGAGAAGCACTTAGGTGCTGCCTTAATCATCTTTGTTCTTCTCTCAGCTCAGAAATGATCAATGGCCTCTTTTTTAAGGAACAATGTAATATATATATATGTAATATAAATAAATATATACATA